GTTTCGGCAGCCCAGCCCTCAGAGGCCCCCTCAGGCCACCCCAGCCCCCCTCAGACCTGGAATTTCATCATTGGAGCCCCCACCCCAGGGTCATAAATTCAGCTGCTTGGGGGAACAATAGGGAGCAGCTGGGTCCGGGGCAAATTCCATTCTATACACTGAGCCTAACAGTTTTGATTTAAACATAAGAAAAGTGGGGTAGACCAAACCAACACTCCTGGCAGCCACTGAACACGCGGGCTGCGTGTTCTCACTGCAGAGCTGCGCGTTCTCACTGCGGGGAAAGCTTGCATTTCAGACCCAAGTTTTGAGAATCCCCCGACTTTCAGAGCCTTCCATTCACCTGGGCGCTGCCCCCTTTCTGCCTATCTAGTGGGGCTGGGGGACAGTCCTTTCTGCCTGATGGAGGGGGCCCCATGGCTGACCACCCCGCAGGCTGGTGCCCCCCTGCTGTCAGCCCAGTCCCAGGTCCACTCTCACCACACAGGGCCACTCCTAGAAGGATCAGAGCCGCCAGGCGCACGGAGAGGTCTGTCATGGTGCTGCTGTGGCCTCGACACTGACCAAGGCGGGGCCCTGGGACACTCTTATGAGAGGGGGAGGTGGGGCGGCTCCCACTGGTCCTATCTGCCCAATGGCAGTGGCCCAGCTGGGTCAAGGGGAGCCCGCCAGTCTGCTTCCGCCCACCTCGCGGTGAGGTTATCCTCTGCTGGACTTTGCACCCTGCGGGCTGCCTCCTGCCGCTGGGTACCTAGCCCAGAGCTGACCCTGGTGTGGGGAGCAACCCCTCGGGATGCAGGAGGAGAGCCGAGGGATGGAGCCCCTCGAGCCCCCCAGCCAAGTCTCCCACAGTGCCCTTCCAGCCCTCAAGTTTCACAACAGCCGCTGGAGGCCACAGTGTGTAAACAACCCACTTCCTCGTGTTTTTCTTTTCTTTTTTTTTTCCTGCACCTCCCTCCTTTGTCTTCCTTCTCCAACTTGGAGGGGAAATCGGGTGGGGGAGGGAATAGGGTCACCCTACACCTTGTCGCCATTGCTGTGCCTCTGGGTCCTGACACCCCAACCAGTGGAATGTTGGAAAGGTGCTGTGTAGGGGCAGCTGGAAAGACCGTGCCTTCAACAAGGAAATTTTAATGGGAAGTTCAGGTCTGCCTTCAGGTGTGGCGTGACCCAGGCGCCTTGAACAATGTCAGGTCTTTGCCGCTAGTTTCCCCCTTCCTCCTGGATGGCTTCTCTCCTCACCAGGCTCCCTGTTGTGGTCCCAGGAACCCCAGACTCAGCCCAGTGGCTCAGTGGGCTCCTGCTCCAATTCCCCATGACACCAGTGTCCGAAGGCTGCCTCTGATTGGCTGAGCTTGGATCACAGGCCCCCTCCCAGGTTCTGAAGAGAAGAAAGGTGGCGGCAGGTGCTGGGACCAGAGGGGTGGGGCAGACCTTGAATATCCCCAGTGGGAACAGTGCACAATACTTTCCCCTCCTTTTTTTTTTTTTTATCTCCTCACAGCAGATTATTTCATACCTATAGAAAATAACAAATGTGATCTGTTAGATCCTAACAGTTTTCTTATTAAAATCAGAAGTTCTGAATGAATGCCCATGAGGAGATGGGAGTCCGGATTATGTAAGAATGTTCAAAATTGCAACAAAATTTGGAAATGACCTAGGAAGATGGTGTGGTTCCATAAACAACCCTGAACATCTCCAGATGTCGTGTGGACAAGGGAAGGTCGCCTGGGTGTAGTATTAAGTGGGAAAAGCAGGGCAGCTAGGCACCTTCCTGAGCAGCTGGCACCTGGGGGCGGCTGGGTAAGGGGAGCGCCTGCAGGCAGAGCAGGCAGAGAAACAGCCAAGGCAGAGGCCCCGAGGGGAACCCAGGGGGCTGAGCTCCAGAGGGAGGGCGTTTGGGACCAGGGGACAGAGAGGGAAAGATTTATCCCAAACTCATGGTGTGTGTGTGTGTGTGTGTGTGTGTGTGTGTGTGTGTGTGTTGGGGTGTTACCTATTGTTACTCCGCTCATTTATTTGTTTGCTTGGGTGACTATCTCCTCCCCCATCATCAGACTCTGGGCTGCATGATGGCAGAGGCCATGCCTGTTGTGGTCCCCACCCGTGGCCCCAGAGGGCTCCTCATGGGACCAGGAAGACAAAAGAGGGTACAAGTCAGTCATGCCCCCCCCCCCCTGCCCGGCCAGGGCAGCAACTCCCACCGAGGCTGGGGGATGCCTGGGGAATCTTCTGCTCTGCGCCTCCCCACTTGTCAGAGCGAAGGGCTGGGGAGTTGGGGGAGGGCTTGTCTCTGTCACCAGTGAACCCCAGTCCCTGGCTGCACCCTTCCCAGACAGCACTCACTCCTCCCCACAGGGAAGCAGAGGTTCAGAGGCAGCCGCCAAGTTGCCTAAAGTCAGAGCTGGGACTCGAACTCAGACTCCTGAGTTCTTCTCTGTAACACATGGCACTGATGGGACCCGCCTCAGGGGCCGGAGATGAGCCAACACTTGCAAAGACTGAGGTTGATTCCTGCACCCGGTGAGCACTCAGCAAACACCTGCTACAGCGACTTGTGTCGCAACCACTTGTAACTCTAACTTAATCATGTGTGAATGCGTTTTACAGGAGGGAAACCAGAAATGGCAAGTGGCATCCTTTTGTGCCAGGAGGGGAAGGAACTTCTGACCCCAATGCCCTGGTTTTGCTGCCACCTGGTGGCAGCATACTTGTGAGATGCCCCAAACACTCTCCTGATTACTTTTTCTTTCTTTTTAATTTCTTTATTGATTAAGTTATTGCACATGTGTCCTTATCCCCACATTACCCTCCATCCCCCCACTCATGCCCTCACCCCCCTGTTGTCTGTGTCCATTGGTTAGGCCTATATGCTTGCATATAAGTCCTTTGGTTGATCTCTCCCCCTTACCCCCACCCTCCCCTACCTTCCCTCTGAGGCAGTGGTTCTCAACCTTCCTAATGCCACGACTCTTTAATACAGTTCCTCACATTGTGGTGACCCCCAATTTCATTGTTACAAATTGAACATAATTAAAGCATAGTGATTAATCACAAAAACAATATGTAATTATATATGTGTTTTTCGATGGTCTTAGGCGACCCCTGTGAAAGGGTCATTCCACCCCCAAAGGGGTCGTGACCCACAGGTTGAGAACCGCTGCTCTGAGGTTTGACGGTCTGATCGATGCTTCTCTGTCTCTGGATCTGTTTCTCCTAACTACTTTCAATCTCCAGTTGCACAACCAACAAACACCCAGACACATTCTACAAAACAGAGAAGGTTTTTATTCTGCCAGATGCTGCATAAGGCAGCATGGATGGGCCTGGCCAGGGGCAGGTGAGGTGGGGTGACTGGGGCAGCCCTTGCTAGTGGCTCCTACTTGCAGGGTCCCTGGGGTGGAGAGGAGGGCGGTCACTGTGGCTGCGGATGATGGAGTTGATCCAGTTTGCGTACTTCGCGACGGGGGCAAAGGCATCTGGGAAGAAGCCGGAGCCGCAGCTTCCTCTGATGAAGGAGTCGATCCCGTGGATCAGCCCGTTGCAGACCAGGGGCCCGCCGGAGTCCCCCTGTGCGGGGCCAGGTGAGGTTAGGGGGCTAGGCTTTCAGGGCCCCCCACCTGCCTCCCTTCGGGGTTGGGAGGTCCTCCTGGCATCTGGCTTGCAGTCCTGGTTGCTGTGGCCCGGGGAGGAGTGGGGTGGGAGCTGAGAGGGGGGTGGCAGGTACTCACAAAGCAGATGCCGGCGCGGCGGCGCGGCACCAGGGTGCACACGTTTGTGGGGCGGCAGAGGGATGTCACCACGGTCACGTTGAGCTGCTGGAGGACTCTGGGTGGTGGCTGGTTTGTGCCCAGCCGACCCCATCCCATGGCCAGGCACCGTACCCCGTTACCCACACCTTGGTCCTGCTCCGGCAGGCTGGCCACCTGCACGTTGGCGTTGATGGTGGCTGACCCGTTGAGCTGCAGTGGGCAGGACAGAGCATCAAAGAGTCACATGGGGCAGCGGGTGCCGACTCTCCCCTTCCTGAGCCTGTTTCCCCATCGGAGGCCCCAGGATAGTTCTGGGATTTTATGGAGCAGCGTGGCCACCCTGCCAGATGCTCCCCACCCTGAGCGTCCGTTTCCCCATTTGTGAAGGAGACGCAACCACAGTGGCTCAGGGTGAACTTGAACATGTCTTGAGTGCAGTGAACAGTAGGTACCAAACTGTGGGCAACACCAACGACAACAAAACCCTTGTTCTGGAGCATGACAGAGAGTAATCATAGCTCTGCCAGCTGTGGGGGAGGGACGGTTTCTCCCTCCAGCCTCCCGCCTGTCTGAATGTGGGGAACTTTGCCCCAGTTCACAAAGACAGGGACTGTCCCTGCCCTCGGCCACAGGGCACGAATCATCACAACAGCCTGTCGATGGACAACTGCTCAGAGCACTCTGCATCCTCTTGTTCACGAGCTCAACAACCCTGCCAGGTGGGGCTTCTTTCCCAGGTCACACAGGTGGAGACGGAGGCACAGAGATGACCTGCCCCGTTAGAGCCAGGTGGGACCCCCAGTCTATCGCCCCTTCTGTGCCCTCCCCACGCCTCGGGCCCCGGGCCTTTACACCAGCGTGGGCATCCCTTCCCCACCCCAGGCACCCCTTGGCCGCCCGGCTGGCCTCCCACCTGCAGAAGCACGATGTCATTCAGCAGCCGCTGGGCATCGAAGCCGTTTTCAAAGACTTGCTGGACGCTGAATAGCTGCCTGGTGGGCTCACGCCGGCCCAGGTTGTGCGCCCCCAGCACCACCTGCACTGTCTGGAAGTTTCTGCAGCAAAGTGGGTGCAGGAGGTGATTCGAGGTGGCTCTTGGGTTTGGGGGTGGGAGAGAGACCCCAGAGCTCAGCCGAGCCCAGGCCCAGGCCCACGGGGTGCCTCACCACCCAGGACAGATCTCTGGGCTCCTGGACTGAATGCCGGCACTTCGGCCTGGTGAAGAAGGTGCATTAATGGGGGCGCCCTGGAGGGGCCCAGACCCTGGTCTCACTCCCCACCCCCTCCACCCCGACTCGCTTTGACAGATGTGGGAATGGAGGGAAGAGGGAAGGTATGCCTGGGAGTCACTCACATGCCATTCACACAGTGCGCGGCCGACATGACAAAGTTCGGGGCCACCAGGGTACCGCCACAGAAGTGGCCTCCACGCCGCTGCAGGGACACCATGAAGGGCCACGCATGGGGCTGGGCCCGCCGGCCACCCACGATCTCGGAGGCCAGCACGGGGCCTGGAGACAGTCAGGGGGAGCGTGGTGGTGAGTGTCATGGAGGAGCCCTACCCCACTGGGCCAGTTGGCCCTTGAACTCCCACCCAGAACCTCCGGGTCAGGACTCTTTCGTGCTTGTTGCCAGATGAGGAAACTGAGGTACGGAGAGGAAAGAGGGGCCTGCCACCGCCTCCTGCCAGGGCACAGCTAGATCTGAGCTTCATTTGGCTTTGGAGTCCCCAGAGCCGGCCCACTGACCCGCCCCCACTGGATTCCCTGGGCCCCTCACCACTCTGAACCTCAGTCTCCTCCTCTGGAAATGGGTCTCCT